ACCATCCAACCATCCAACCATCCAACCATCCAACCATCCAACCATCCAACCATCCAACCAAGTAAAATAACTAGAGCTTGTTTCTTTTACAGGTTCAACAATCTTTTAATGGCTCAAAAATACAAATTAAAGCCGTTCACTTAATATCCTGCAGGTAAAAATTATTCAAAGTTATTCATTCGTGCTATTTACACGTTTTTCCCTTCACACCGATTAATTTATAGTTACGTACGCGGTGTTTATACCGCCGACCCCCAGGACAGGTAGGGAATTTCAACATTTCGCGAAGTGTTAAATTTTAGTAATTTTTTCAGGTTCCGGGTTAAAGTACGGGTTGAAGTACGACTTAAAAATGTCCCGTATCCCCGTGCATTCAAGCTGTGAAATGCGCAAAAAATGCTCGGTCTTTTTCATGCGTTAATTCCCCGCCCTGTGTCGGGGATCAGGGTCGGGGTTTCATTTGTGTACGTAGTGCGCAATAGAAGCCATATTCCTGTTAATTTTGATCAATAAATTATATGTTTTTCCTTATTGGTTGTTAATAATGCGACACCTTTTTATATTGATGTAAAATTTGTTTTTCAGTCATGGAAGTGTACTGGTCAACTTCAGTGTCGTCTACGACAAACCCGGGGAAGACGACCTTGTGAATTTCCAAGAAAGTGTAGAAGAACGAGGTCATTTGGGATCAGTTCCTTTGATGGTCCTGAACTATCATGCTGTGTCAAGTGAGTTTCTTGTCAAAAATACTATCAAATCACCTAAGTCAGTGAATTTTGCATCTTGCTATTTTAGATTACAGTTTATACTCAAGAATATGTTGTCATCTATGGAAAGACTGACGTCAGATTGCAGAAAATTCAATCTGAATTATATATTTTTCATGAGATATATCGATTTCAAAACAATGGATAATCTTTAAACATTGTATCCCTCATAAAATAAAGAGGTAAATTCAGTTAATTAAAGAGGATTGATATCAGTGGTATTTTTTTCAGTCCCTTCCGAAGGACCAAAGGTCATTYCATCATCTATCCTGACTCCAACATCCATACACATTCGATTTAGGCCTATTGACTCGAGTACTTTCAACGGAACGTCCCCTACATACAAATTAAAGTATCGCAGGCTCAATGATAGTACTTGGTCAACTGTTGAGTGCTATTCCTGTTCATCAATGGTGGTCAGTGGTTTGGACGTCATGACCGATTACAAGTTTAGAGTCTTGGCATATTCTTACATCGGTAATGGGATATCAGGCCCAGCAGTAGTGATACGAACATCAGGATATGGTAAGAAGGAACGAACGGACGGACGGACGGACGAACGGACGAACGGACGAACGGATGAATAAATGTCAAGCTTTATTACATTCATGCAGTTATTGTTCGTTATTGTTATTTTTAGGAACCTTGTTAGCTCCACAAACGGTAGTAGCATACAAACAAGATGCTCAAAGGATCGTGGTGGAATGGTGTTGTATCTCCTCGTGCATTTATTTATGTCCTTAATTTATGTACATACATAATCATAACTTATAATCAGTGACGTAACTACATTACATCCCTCTCTACGTGGAAAAAGCTTACATCCTCTTAAATCAATGCTCTCTGAATTAAACAACTAATCATCCCCATGAACGTGTTTCGTTAGTAATTAGTAATAAATGTCAACAATGTTCTTGCGTCGTCTCAGTGCTTAATATTCACTTAGAGTTCACTTGTAGACGATATAGTCTGAGAATCTGACAGGTGGTCTCACTTGACGACTGCTGGAACGTCTCTGCACAGGTGTTGGTGGTCTCGTAGGGGCGCTATCTTCTTGCTGCGTCATTTCCGGTGATCCAGTGATGGAGTCGTCGTCTTCGTCATTGGGCTGGTACTGTGCAAGATGACTTGGTATTAATTTGAACTGTGATGAGTTTCTTGTTATTGATTTGTTGTCGTTGGATGCCGTTATCATCGTCCCTTTTCTTTCTTCCACGATGAACGGTGTTGGGTTGTAAGGTGTGCTCAACTTGTTTCGTTTGGGTTGGCGTACTAGCACTGTGTCTCCCGGCTTTACAGCATTCTCCTTTGCGTGTGTTCTTTTATCTGCGTACTCAGTCATCTTGAATTTGGATTGTGCATCCTTCTGTTGTAGCTTGCTTGTTGGCATGATCGTTGATGTAATTTGAGGAAGTTCAGTCCTTAGCTTTCTCTGATTGAGCGCTTCACTAGGTGAGGTGTAGGTTGAAGAGTGCGGCGTAGCTCGGTATTGACGAAGAAATCTGTACATCTGCTGTTTCCAATTCTTTCTCTCTACATGAGCAGATCTGATGCACTTCTCAAGTGTTTTCATAAATCGTTCAGCTTCTCCATTAGCTCTTGGCCAGCAGGGTGTGACTTTTCTGTGATGGAATCCAGAGTTTTCTGCATAGGCTTTAAACTCTGCGCCGTTAAATGGAGGGCCGTTATCACTTT